CCTGCTCTCCCGTTTGAGTCTGGGTCCCTAGAGACTCGCCCAGATCTGGAGCTCAGAGTCTGAGGCTCCCTCCGAATTGAAACAGTCAACCGCGCACTCAGCCACCAGCCCGCGCCGCGCGCACTCCGCACCTTAGTATTTTACTTCAGCACTGCGCCTCCTCTGATTCTCGGTTCCTCCTAGTTGTAGAACTTCCACTCAGCCAGCCTTCCTGTGGTTCTGGATGATGTCCATTCCGTCTTTAGTTGTATTTTTGAAGTGGTTGTTCAAGGCAGCAAACTCTGGCGTTAACCTATGCCGCCATCTTGGTTTCTCCATGAATTTACTTTTTTAAGAAGAATGGGTCAGGTGAGACAACTCTAGCCAGTGGCCTTTTTATTATTTTTAAATTGTGGTAAAATAAACATAACATGAAATTTTCCATCATACGGTAACCACTTTTTAAGTATACAGTTCAGTGGAGTTAAATACATTCACATTGTTGTACAACCATCACCAACATCCATCTCCAGAACTCTTTTCATCTTGCAAAACTGAAATTCTGTGTCCATTAAACAATAACTCCCCAGTTACCCTTCCCCTCAAGTCTCTGGCAATAACCATTCTACTTTATGTACCTATGAATTTGATTACTTAAGTACCATATATAAGTGGAATCATACAGTATTTTGTGACTGGCTTATTTTACTTAGCATGATGTCCTCAAGCTTTGTCTAAGTTATAGCATGTAGCAGAATGTCCTTCCTTTTTAAGGCTAAATGTATGTATATAGCACATTTGTTTGTCCATTCATCCATCTTGGGTTGCTTTCACCTTTTGTGAATAGTGTTTCTGTGAGCATGGGTGTACTAATGGCTTTTTAAAAACACCCTGAATGCTATGTCAAACTTTTATTGGGTATAATAGTATTCTTGAGTATGATCTGGGATAAATTTAAGTATTTTCCTATTAATGATAGATTTTTAGCCAAACAGATTTTAAATATCTTAATATTACATAAAATAGATTTAAATATCTTTATAGATATTAAACCTAATAGAGTTATAATATTTAATAGATATTTAAATATATTTCTTATATCTTTTGTTATTTGAAAAACTAATTATTTAGCATAATACCCTCTAGGTCCATCCATGTTGTCACAAATGGTAAGATTCCATTATTTTTATGGCCAAGTAATATTCCATTGTATATATATATATACCACATCTTCTCTATCCAGTTGTCTATTGATGGACACTTGGGTTGCTTCCATAGCTTGGCTATTGTAAATAGTGCTGCAGTGAACATAGGGATTCATATGTCTTTTCAAATTAGTGGTTTGGATTTCTTCAGATAAATACCCAGAAGTGGGATTGCTGGGTCATATGGAAGTTTTATTTTTAATTTTTTGAAGAACATTCATACTGTGAAATAAGTCAGTCAGAGAAAAACAAAGACCATATAATTTTACTTATATGTGGAATCTAAAATACAAAATAAACAAATAAACTAGACTTATCAGGGGATAAATAACTATGCTATACACCTGAAACTAATATAGTATTGAATGTCACTGTAATTGAAAAATAAATTGTTATTTTAAAGAAACCTAAGTTTTAGCTGAATCTCTGTCCACATCTATAGGTATGTCCTTAGGATAAACTTCTCAAAGTGAAATTTCAGGAAGCTATGGCCATAGAGGTATAGGCATGAATATTTTGACAGAGATAGAGATTTTTAAGTGGAAAAACAGTATGTTAAAGAGTTAAGATTATTGTAATAGGATCATAGGATTAGAGATATATCTTTTTTGTTTTGTTTTATAGCTTCTTTCAGTTTTTTTAAATAATTAAATCTTTATTGTTCAGATTATTACAGTTGTTTCTCTTTTTTCCCCCATAGCTTCCCTCCACCCGTTCCCA